TCCGGGCGGTGCCCAGCACAGACCCCGCAGCAGCCCCCCCGGGGCGGCACCACCGAGACACGCGGGGCGGTCGCACCTGCAGCAACGAGAAGCCGAACAGGTAACTTGTAACTTACCGTGGAACACCCCGTTGTCCACCAGGAAGTGCCGGCAGTACTGCAGGCAGCTCTTCTTATCCAGACTCCAGTAACTCATTGTACGACGACTTTCCGCTCACCATCAACGGCAGAGACCCTGCAGGGTGGAAATCGGGAGTTAAGTTTACAAGCCAGCACAGCTACTACAAGCACTGCATTCATTTGTGCCCTTCGTGCAAAATAGTTCATTAGCTTCACGCCAAGCACTGCAGTGAATGCAGTGCTCTCCAGACACCCCCGTCTCCAGGGATGGGTGGATCACTGGGGCTGTCAGGGATGCTCCCACCCTGCACAGCACAGGGGGCTGCCCCCCCCGGGGGGCACCTGCTGTGACACCCCAGCCACACAGCCCCTGCAGGCCACTGTGGGGCCACCATGCTGTCCCTTATTGAACAAGCTACAGACACGTCAGAGAACACCACAAAATTCACCCCAGGAAAGGCTGGGGGAAAGAAAAAGAGAAACAGAGGGGGGGGGAAAAAAAGAAAAAGATAAAAAGAGAACAGCTCAGAGCACCTGGGAGCCTAAACCAAGCACGTTTCTCAGCAGGCTGAAACTCATCCAGCTGCTTAGAGGGAGACAGGGATTCATCTCTGAACCACTGCACTGTTCTCAGAGGCAGGCTGCAGAGAACTTCCCAGCAGAAGACAGCAGCTGGGCAGAGACCCTTCCCTCCTCGGGTGGGTGCTGGCTCTGCCTTCCCTCCCTGCCTGCCAGGGCAGAGGCTCCCAGTAGGGCCACGGGAGGAGCTGTGCTCCAGGCCAGCAGCAGCAGAGACCAGGCCATCAAAGCATTCACGGGTAATTTCCCGCAGATGCTATCACCAATAAGTGCTGGGAGTGAAGAGCAGTCTTCTTGGACGCAGGCCCCAGAGCTCTGCTAGGTCAAGCCCCTGACTGCCAGTCTTTCTTGGGTCCAGCCAATAATATTTATAAACCAGTTAAAAAGGAGGCTGCAAGCCAGCACAAAACAAAGACCAGCCAAGTGAGGGCAACTCAAGTGGCCAAAGCCAATCTCTGACAATGAGTTGAGAGACAACCCCCCTCCAGCCCCCAGAGCATTCCCACCACAGTCACTCCACTGTTCCACTGCCACAATCTGGGACAATGGGAACAAGTGGAACAATTATTTTTCAGCAACCTAAACAGTAGAAGTTAACTCATTAATAAGCTGGTGGCTATAACGCAGGACAAGACTGGAGTTGTTCTTGAACAACATAAGTTTCATTGAACTTTCATTCAAAGAATTTCAGCCTTTGTTTTGCAAGTTGGACCTTACAAAGGTCCATCCCACCCAGCAGACTGAGCATGCACAGTTGTGATTATGGCCAAATAAACCAGCATTTCATACTTGGTTCTGAAAAACAAAACAAAACCCCAAGGACTCCTTGATCGCCTGTTCTGACACCAAATCCTTTCACTGGATGCTCCTTCTCCCTTTACTATTGTATCAAGTTCAAGACTCACATTTCAGCAACCCAGACACCCCTTCCTGTTACACACCTGCTTTGGTTTCCCATTTTTATCTCACTCCCACCTTCACTCTGATCAACCCAGCTGTTTTCTTGCCCACACTTGGCAGAAACAACACCAACTATCTTCATACAAGCAAACCACTACCGGGATGTAATATTACTCCTGCTCCAGCCTCCTCTACTATTGCCTCTGTGGGGAGGAGAGATAGTCTGAATGATCCCCCTGAAGGTGTCAGCCAAAAATGCCTGTTTCTGTTTTGCTCTGTCTCAGAACTATCACAGTCTCCATGACAGTATGTGTTTGGGCCATGGCCTGTGTATTGTTTACACTAAAGGTATATTTTACTAAAATTTGGAACACTGAGCAGTAATACCCATTACCTCTGCCAGACTTCATCATCTACATTTCTTGGACTTTTGCCCTTGCCAGCCATGAGCCTTCATAATAGCTTGCCATAACTGGGGCCACTTTTCTAGTGTTAATTAGCAAGGCATAAACTGTTAGTTACTTTAAATGTGTAGGAATAATCATGGTCCAGCCTACTGCCGAGCTCTTTGCTTTAGCCTATAAAAAACACAAGTGACACTACGTTTTAATCAAGAAAATAATATCTAATATTAATCACTAAGAATTCACACAAGAATAAAGAGATTTAATCTCCTGCTCAGCTCCCACACAGAATTCATGTCACAGGCAGGGGGAGGGAGATTTATGGGGAAAACGTTTGCTATTGATATATTTGTGCACTGCCTCTGAAAGAAACCCTTCAGTCCCCTCCCTTTCAGGGCTCATGCCGATACAATACTCCTTTGTTTTGGCACAAAGGGTTCTCCACCACGGTGGTCCCTTGGAACAAACGTTCTCCCTGGCACCTCAGGAATGAAGGCAGAATCCCAGAGTGGCTGCATCAGCTGACACAATCATCCCCCTAAGGAAACCTTCCTCAGAAGCACCAGCAGTTATTTGGATGGCCCTCAAGGTTATTTGCTTTCTCCATCCCCGAGCTCTGGGAGAGTCCCACCAGGATCATGCATCATTGTATAGGACCAAGAATGCAAAGGAAAAAAACAACCAGCTACACACTTTGGGCCAAATATAATTTCAAATTGCTCTGCACTCAGGAAATCAACTATACACAAATTTGCACCTTTTCAATAATAAAGACATAGTAAAAAATTAACATCCTGCTTGTTACACAGTGTTATACAGGCTATCCCTGTGTAACTTAAGTGAAAAAGGGGGGGGGGGGGGGAAAAGAAAAAGATAAAAAGAGAACAGCTCAGAGCACCTGGGAGCCTAAACCAAGCACGTTTCTCAGCAGGCTGAAACTCATCCAGCTGCTTAGAGGGAGACAGGGATTCATCTCTGAACCACTGCACTGTTCTCAGAGGCAGGCTGCAGAGAACTTCCCAGCAGAAGACAGCAGCTGGGCAGAGACCCTTCCCTCCTCGGGTGGGTGCTGGCTCTGCCTTCCCTCCCTGCCTGCCAGGGCAGAGGCTCCCAGTAGGGCCACGGGAGGAGCTGTGCTCCAGGCCAGCAGCAGCAGAGACCAGGCCATCAAAGCATTCACGGGTAATTTCCCGCAGATGCTATCACCAATAAGTGCTGGGAGTGAAGAGCAGTCTTCTTGGACGCAGGCCCCAGAGCTCTGCTAGGTCAAGCCCCTGACTGCCAGTCTTTCTTGGGTCCAGCCAATAATATTTATAAACCAGTTAAAAAGGAGGCTGCAAGCCAGCACAAAACAAAGACCAGCCAAGTGAGGGCAACTCAAGTGGCCAAAGCCAATCTCTGACAATGAGTTGAGAGACAACCCCCCTCCAGCCCCCAGAGCATTCCCACCACAGTCACTCCACTGTTCCACTGCCACAATCTGGGACAATGGGAACAAGTGGAACAATTATTTTTCAGCAACCTAAACAGTAGAAGTTAACTCATTAATAAGCTGGTGGCTATAACGCAGGACAAGACTGGAGTTGTTCTTGAACAACATAAGTTTCATTGAACTTTCATTCAAAGAATTTCAGCCTTTGTTTTGCAAGTTGGACCTTACAAAGGTCCATCCCACCCAGCAGACTGAGCATGCACAGTTGTGATTATGGCCAAATAAACCAGCATTTCATACTTACTTGGTTCTGAAAAACAAAACCAAACCCCAAGGACTCCTTGATCGCCTGTTCTGACACCAAATCCTTTCACTGGATGCTCCTTCTCCCTTTACTATTGTATCAAGTTCAAGACTCACATTTCAGCAACCCAGACACCCCTTCCTGTTACACACCTGCTTTGGTTTCCCATTTTTATCTCACTCCCACCTTCACTCTGATCAACCCAGCTGTTTTCTTGCCCACACTTGGCAGAAACAACACCAACTATCTTCATACAAGCAAACCACTACCGGGATGTAATATTACTCCTGCTCCAGCCTCCTCTACTATTGCCTCTGTGGGGAGGAGAGATAGTCTGAATGATCCCCCTGAAGGTGTCAGCCAAAAATGCCTGTTTCTGTTTTGCTCTGTCTCAGAACTATCACAGTCTCCATAACAGTATGTGTTTGGGCCATGGCCTGCGTATTGTTTACACTAAAGGTATATTTTACTAAAATAAGTTAACTCATTAATAAGCTGGTGGCTATAACGCAGGACAAGACTGGAGTTGTTCTTGAACAACATAAGTTTCATTGAACTTTCATTCAAAGAATTTCAGCCTTTGTTTTGCAAGTTGGACCTTACAAAGGTCCATCCCACCCAGCAGACTGAGCATGCACAGTTGTGATTATGGCCAAATAAACCAGCATTTCATACTTACTTGGTTCTGAAAAACAAAACCAAACCCCAAGGACTCCTTGATCGCCTGTTCTGACACCAAATCCTTTCACTGGATGCTCCTTCTCCCTTTACTATTGTATCAAGTTCAAGACTCACATTTCAGCAACCCAGACACCCCTTCCTGTTACACACCTGCTTTGGTTTCCCATTTTTATCTCACTCCCACCTTCACTCTGATCAACCCAGCTGTTTTCTTGCCCACACTTGGCAGAAACAACACCAACTGTCTTCATACAAGCAAACCACTACCGGGATGTAATATTACTCCTGCTCCAGCCTCCTCTACTATTGCCTCTGTGGGGAGGAGAGATAGTCTGAATGATCCCCCTGAAGGTGTCAGCCAAAAATGCCTGTTTCTGTTTTGCTCTGTCTCAGAACTATCACAGTCTCCATAACAGTATGTGTTTGGGCCATGGCCTGCGTATTGTTTACACTAAAGGTATATTTTACTAAAATTTGGAACACTGAGCAGTAATACCCATTACCTCTGCCAGACTTCATCATCTACATTTCTTGGACTTTTGCCCTTGCCAGCCATGAGCCTTCATAATAGCTTGCCATAACTGGGGCCACTTTTCTAGTGTTAATTAGCAAGGCATAAACTGTTAGTTACTTTAAATGTGTAGGAATAATCATGGTCCAGCCTACTGCCGAGCTCTTTGCTTTAGCCTATAAAAAACACAAGTGACACTACGTTTTAATCAAGAAAATAATATCTAATATTAATCACTAAGAATTCACACAAGAATAAAGAGATT